GACTGACGGCGAGGGGCTGGGCTGATCTCACTGACATTTCCCTTACGCAACATTTGGCTCATGAGAATTAATTCTCCGTCTGTTTTGCTTTCAACAGGTACGAGATAAATTTTACCCTAAAGGAAATATTCCGTTTAATCCAGAGTCCGTTCTAGACAGGTTTTATCGTAATGTACTGAGTAGCGTCTTCTGGGCGCTGTCAATGCCTCAGAGTGCGCAGTGCCGAATGGCAGACTGATTAGTGAATAATGAAATGGAGAGGATGTGAAATGAAGGGGTCGTGGCCTGATTTGAAGTATTAACCTGGCATTTGCTGGCCTGAGATTTGAACCTGGAGTCTCTGTCTGTAAATGTACGGGGGGAGGGGGGCAATGACAAAAATAAGCAGGTGAAAACTGTTCTTCATATGCATAAGGTAAAATTGTCGCTGTGCTTAATTACGCACTGGCACTGGAAGGAGGTGAGTGGTGAGCTTCACATCCCCGGGTACCCATTGGATAGCGAGTCTCGATGCTTACACGAACTTAAGCCGTTAGGAACGTTCTCGGCCGCCACCCTTGCGCGATATAGGAAGTGATCTGTTGTGGGTCGCACTGTGGCCTTGAGTCAGTACATGATCAAGGAGAACAGTGAGCACGACGGCGTAGGAATGCATCACCTCGTCCACCCGTGTCACCTGCCAACGCTTCTGCAGCTTAAGTCTTTAAAGCCCAGTGGTAACTATGTGTACCACCTGCTTTAACATACTAAAACCCTGCATTCTGTCCACAAAGTGTATTTATGTGTATGATTTTTACAATAAACAGCGACTCTTTACCTAAACAGCAGTAACTTGTTGGACTTTGTAGTGGTGACGTAACGTTTTTCCTGTGAGGTACGAACTGAACTATTATATATCACGTAGAAGTAATTCAGATTTTAAAGTATTAAGAGTGGGATGACACCTCTGAAGCGTATCTGAGGGTACGTGTAGTAGAGATCTGCGCATCTCATCTACTCTGGGAGAGAGGGTGCGTCATCGTCAGAAACTTGCTAGAATCTGTTTTCAGCGAACTTCCGGTATTCAGACGTACTTCCATAATACTTTTCTTCCGTAAGGTTGCCTACACAAGATGTGACGTACCCTCGAAGAAATTCTGGACGCAGTATCGCTTAAGTGTGTCAATGTCGGCCAGTGTAACAGACATGGGCTGAACCATTTTTATGAACGTGTATGATTGTACAGATTATGTTGTTGTTTTTTTTTTGCGTTTATGACAGCGTGTAGTCTGGTAGATCACTTATGTTAAACCTTTTGTCTCTTGCGTCACATCAGTCATAGGCCCATCATAGTAAAGAAATAAGCTTTTATTTTTTTGAACAAGTGTATTTATAAAATTATGTGGATTTTAAAATTATATTAATCATAGTGAAGGTTCTTACGTTCCCCCGCCGCCTGTGAGGTGCCAGCACTAGTTCGCGCCCTGCTGGTTGAGAAATACTCAGTGAAGACTACTGTCTTTTTGGATGTGACGCTGTGTAGTCTGGTAGAAGTTCACCAACGTTCCTTCGAAACGTCTGTAAATTTCTACCAAACCACGCAGCAGACAACACTGCTTGTAGTCACCGCATTGAAAACTTCAGATATATTTTTGCAGTAGGTGAATTTTGACGTTTCGGAGGACATTATTGCCTCCATATTCTGGGTAAATATCCTCCACATTGTCAAAACCCCAAGCTCCTCGACGGGTGTTACCGACCATTAGTTGTAAAATTACTTGAACTTGGACAGCTTGGCTCTCTTTTTCCTATAGATGGAGGCAGTAACTGCTTCGAAACGTTTGTGACCAGACTACACCGAGTCGCAATCCAGAACACAAGAATATAAATGCTTGCCGATATGAAGACTTCAGATCTCCTAATAGTCCTAGCCGACTTCTCGCCAAGGGACGGAATAACTGGGTTCGATACCCTGACCTACACATTATGGGAACCGTAGATCTGCCGCCTCCTAGGTCTGACGTCCGACACTTCTTGTTTCCATTAGTTATCCCTGTACGTAATTAAGTACCACGTGACCACGTGTATTTTAACTTCAGAACAATATAGAGCTGCGTTGTCAGTTGCACGATCCGGCCGTTCTATTACCGGGGATAGAGCCGCGGTATTCATTTGGTAGGATGGGGTGGGGGGGGGCAAGAGTCCACCTGGACGCTGCGGAGAACAGAAAGATCTCTTGTCCCTTCCTGGAATCCAACCCAGTTCCGGTTGGTGAGTCGCTATACTGACTGGGTAATTCATGAAGTGCTATTCATTCGATTTATTTTTGTTAAATTTTGTCAGACGGTGATTGAGGGCACATCGCACCCTGAGCTGGCAATCTTACGGAAGTGACAGCCCTATGTGATAAAGGGGATCTCCGGCACGGAGACTGTGGTCCCCTTCGTGTGTTGGAAATACGACAAATTAATGACTTACAATGATGACGTAACCAGCTACGTCATCACTATCTGGTGGAGAATGTGCTGTTATAAGTTGTGCTGATGAAAATAACAAAAACAAAAATCACCATAGAGCCTTTATCTAAAAACTATAGAAAGACAATACATTTATTCATCGCTAGAAGATTCAGAAGTTGTACTTGTTTCTGAACGTAATACTGCAGGTTTGAAGACACTGTCAAGTTTCATCTGAACAGACAAGTGACTCATCTGCCTTCACAAATCCCAAGCATGTACTCAACTGTGAACAGCATTTTTCATACTTAGATCTTGATTAACTGTAACCGGATTAGCGAGGACTTAGTGTAATTTAATATGAGACAGGCATAAGAGAGCCGACAGTTGCTGCCTTTCGTTCCGCACGGAAGTAGTTTGCAGGAAGTTTCACTGCTTTTTGTGCGCGGCGCGCAGATTAAGCTCCTTGCCTACCCTAGCGTTGAAGTCTCCAAATTCGCGCATACAGCAGTGCTGCTTACCAGTGGGAGCAAGTGTCTTCCTGTGAAGGCTATGGAACTTATTCATAGTAGACTTCAGTGGAGGGTTCTTATGAACATGGTATTGAACCGCAAGGATCCATAAGGCAGCTAATTTCATGACCAGCTTCATGACTTTAACCTTCCAATGAAAACTTTTCACCGTCGAACTAGTTAGTCTTTCTTTTAACAAAAGCTGTCACTTTAGGTTCTTCAACTAACCTCAACGTCATCTGTCAGCCGACTGTCTAGAAAATGTGGAAGCCCCTTGGTCTCACAACCGTATGGGCCTCCGCCTCCGCGGCCTATTTCTTGTAGAGATAACTCTACTTTTTCACCTTTACGGGCAAGAAATCTACCAGGTCCGTCTTGTACTCATGTAGTCACCATGAATTATGAAGTTCCTTGCAATGTAATTTTCTCTTTTCTTCTGTTCAGTGACATGGAAATTGTAGTGTGGGGCGGGGTGATCGCGTTGACTATGAACTGAGTGGCGCACGGACAGAAGTGGTCGTGGCCAGTTTTCATGAGATTGGAGACATGCGAAGTAAAACGACGGTGTCGCCCGGCGCGACATTCGAACTCAGGGTGTTCTGGTATGGTACACTGCAATGTTATGTCCTCTTTCTTATCTCCAGATACGCCCCTACGTGTTTTATTCCCATTCATAAATAGAAAAGCGTAGTTGTGCCTGTGTTTAAGTACTACGTCACAAAGGCGTGCTGAGGAGTGGAGATATAGCTACACGCATTCTTAATCGTAGGCTGCTTCTATTTGTTCAGAAGGATTCTGCCCCTAATTTGTGCGCAGTTGACGAAAGCAAGGCGATCCACGCACCACATGCTGTGCTCCTGAAGCCACTCTGCCTGCCTTAACGAATTTTCATGCTGCTGGGCTATACGAAATGTCGGATCACTGTCTGTGTGGGGCCCCATTGCGGTTCACATCGTTCAAATTTCCCCTGCCTCTTTACATTTAGGTCAAGTCGAACTTTATTGATCATATGAAAAAAAACGCTCATCGTACGAAAAATCGATACACAACACGGAATATAGATCTGATGAAGGTCTACAACTTTTGTTCGAAACAACTTTCGGTTTGGCCGTGTTTAACGAAGTATATGGCAAAATGTTTCCCAGATGTACTGTGTGGTGGCTGTCGTTACAGCTGCACGGTATATGCGGTAAGCGGACACTAATGCTTTCATGAAAACAATATTTAAATATTTATTTCCTCTTGAAGGAAATCTCTGTCTCCATTAGGAGCACCAACCGGTTAATGCCGCTTAGGCTAATAATCACAGTTTATTCTGAGAATCACACGGAACACAAATGCACCGTGTGGGCAAAATGGACAGTACGTGGTAAATGGTAAATCTGTTCCTGTAACAGGCCGCGAGGGCCCATAGAGGTGTGAGAGGTCGAGGCTCCCACATCTTCTAGACAGTCAGCTCACAGATGGCGGTAAGATTTTTAGCCCTACGAGCCCTCCGCCATTTACCCCCCAGGAATCTTCCTGGTACTCATTTCTGTTACAGACTGAGTCAACCCCAGGGCTATATTGAGGCTGGAAGAATTGGGTAAATCGAAAAAAATTCAATTATCTCATCGGGACTTGAACCCGCGACCTTCCGGCTTGCAGAATAGTGCCTCAACCAATTACGCTACCGCGTGGTACGCACAAGACCGGTGGGGCGTGCAAAATCACAAAGAACCTATTCGAAAAAATATTAGTAATTTCAGATCACTGCCTTGTGGGATTTGACACCATGTATTTTGATAGACTAGTACTAACGTTTCAGTGGAATCTGCTGCCTTTGTCGTCTACCCTAAAAATTGTGACAGAATGCTTCTCACACTGTTTTGATATATACACGGCGTCACAATAGTCAGCGCCGTCCCGCGGTTTTACTCCACTTTGAATACACGTTATTACTAGTGGTCCTGGTGTGAACTCCGATAAGGATGTCTTATGCGATGTTAACGTTTGAACCAACGTCTGTCTCGCGAGGGATGGGTGGAGCCGTTAAGTGGACACTCTACTTTACCGAGTGCGGGGGTGTCGTCCTCCAGTTCCACCAGGACTCTGCCACTGAGGAACTGCCCTGGGAAGTACAGCAGGTTCGTGTTGTCGAACAGAATGAGAAACTTGAGCAGCTTTCGAGCAGCCATCTTCCTCACGGCACCATCTCACACGGACTGGACCCGCAACATGGCTGTCACCGTCCGTGCTGCCCTCTGTAGGCATGCGGCCTCGGTGGCTCTATCTTCACAGTCGAAGAGTAAGCCAAGCAAGAAGGCGGGAAGCTGAGCCAGCTTCAGCGGATTTTTTCTTCGACTCTGAAGATAAAGGCGATATGTTCCTCCGAAATATCGGACTGTCTCTTAACTACACGGCGTCGTATCCTAGAAGATTTATTTCTCTTATTTATTTATGCTTTGTTTAGAATCGCTGTCAGTGGCCGAGACTATATAGCATAAGTCAGGGCTGTCCAAACTACTGAGAGGCCGCTTTCCAGTATCCTACCACGTGTAAGGGGGTACGCGTGACGAAAATAACGGGTTATACAGATCGGATGATTGGATTTATTGGCATTTCGGTTGCAAGTGCTCGTAATCACACTCAATTATAGCGCTGTCGCTGTTCTACACACTTTCAGTTCACCGTTGCACAGGCACCAGGATTATCCGTCTTCACCAATCGTCTCCTAGCAACGGATCTCAACACAGAGGCTAGCATTTCAGACTACTATGAAGTCTTGTTATTCGTCTTCAATGACTCTGTACTCTTCTGTCCTAATCTGTACTCAATTAATCTTCGGAATTCACTAAGGACATGCTCAATTATCGTCTTTGTACTCTCAACTGCACTGCACTCATAAAGTCTTCAGATCGCACGTCCAGTCTTCACTGGCTGACTACGAACTTTCCGTGGCTGACTTCAACTCTCCAGTCTAATTCTGTCAGCTGTGTTTTAGCGCCGAATGTATTTAAGATAACTTCTTTGCACGGACCACGCATAGAAAACATATGTCACGTGTTCGCTATCTCGCCAGTCCATTAGCGCACTGGCTGCTGTCTACAGAAAACACAGCTACTCACTGTTGCAGTGACGTCATTGGACCTGCGCGGAAGTATGTTTACCTAGCCGTCGTCTAGAAATGGGTTGCACAACCCGGCGTTCCTCTTTAGGACAGTATGTCTTCATTATTTCTGTTAAGTCAATCCGCCGTACGAACCAGGGTGCGTCATTCGTGGTGCAGGCAACCTTACGGAACCAGACGCGAAAGCAACAGAGGAACCGTGTTCGCTACGCGGTCCGTGCCGAGATGTCATAAGCAGTCACTTGAGAGTCGAAATTTGGAACAACGAATTAGTTGTGGGTCAGTCGTCAGCCAGTAAGAATATGAGGAGGGGAGTAGAGGATATTGTTGGGATCCGTCACCAGGAAACGAATGCTGAAAAGACAGTAGGCTGAGAAGACTGAAGTGTAAGGATGTTAGGACTGTTTGAAATAGTGCATGTGCTTTGTGTGTGTTTGTAACACAGAATGTAATGTTGTTTGTGGCTTTGAACCACATCGTTACGCGTATAGGTGACGTGGAGGTACAGCTCCATGCATGCTTAACCTTGGCACGTCGTGGAAATGTGTGGTCAATTGCACGACCCGCGGGGAGAAACCCCCCGGTACCCGTCGGATAGGGGACTGGGTGGGGCCCGCAGTCGGTCTGGACGCTGTGGAGGGAAATTGCCTGTCTCCGCCGCTTACCCATCATAATAGCCTTCCATTTTGTTAGTTGTTTATGTGTTGACAGTCGAGACCAGGGCCCTCAACTCGTGGCATCAACCGTGCCTTGAACCACGGACCGACCGACCCACCCACCGACTTGTCCACTCGATAACCCGGACAAGTAGCGTTAATAGCGCCGTGTAGTGACGCCACCGCGAAGCTCGTTAAAGTGGTACTCGCTTGTACACACAGATGGCAGGACACTGCGCTGTAGAGACGTTCAGGTGAACTGTCAGCTTCACGCTCATGCTGCTTTATCCCAGAAGAAAGACGCGCCGGTACCCACTGGATGGGAGGCTGGCCGGTCTGGGCGTATTGGCCATTAGAGAAATCGCGGCCTGTACCGGAGTTCGAAGCCTGGTCGCTTCATAAGCACAGACTGGAATTAATTAATCACTCACTGATGGAGCTGAGCCGTTCTTGAGAAGCTGACAGTTGTGCAGCTACTCAAGAACTTACCAGCATTTTATGGAACCTGAAGGTTCAGTACCGTGTTCACAAGAGCCCTCCACTGGTCCCTATCCTGAACCAGATCAGTCCAATCCATATCATCCCATCATATCTTTCTAAGAACCATTTTAATATTGTCCAGCCATCTACGTCTTGGTCTTCCCTTCTGCCTTGAAGAAAGTTGACTTTGACACGAGCGCACAGTACTACATAGCTTGATATCCCAGAATCCCGTACTCTTCAGCTAGTCGCGTGACCGGTTCCCATGACAACGTGCTATGGTTTCTCTCCATATATGTCAGTATCTGTAATGGGCTATCAGGCCACTTGTTCGGTATGAAGGTTGTGCCATTTCGAGACACTCTGATGCCCTATCTGTAGCATGTCTGTCTGCCTTATCAGGTAGTGAAGTTCATAACACATCTTCCGCGCAGTCCGTGTCGCACTTGGCTGCAGAAAGGGCACGTTTTCTGAAACAAGGTCGCACCGCATGCAGAAGGTTTCGCTTCAGTTCCGTGTTGAGGTAGCCAGAGTTACGTTTCCATCTGACAGTATGTCAACTAGCCAAGACTCGCCACGCGACTTCATACACCTGGGTGCTGGCTCGTCGTGTCAGAAGCCTCCACATGCTTTAAAATAGGCCGTTTCCTTCAACGTCCATTTGGTTTCGTAATATACACATATCTTCCATTCGGAGCGTTAGAACCAGTGCATTTGGAAAGTCGGCGTTAAATGAAGCAAAATGGGCCATTCATCATGATCTTCACATATCATTGTCAGTTAATAGTACAAAACACAGTGGTAACTATACATACCGCGTGCATTCTTCACTCTGAATTCTGCCCACAGAGTGTATCTGTGTGTTCCGTATGGTTCTCACAATAAACAGCGGCTGTTTCCCCAAACAACATTAACCGGTTGGGCTTTGTAGCGGAGACGTAGTGTTTCCTGTGAGGTAGCGACTTCATGGAGCTGAGTCCAGCTTGGGAACCGGGGAGCTGTATTTCCAGCACTTACTGGAATCCAAAGGTTCATTGCCGTGTTCGCAAGAGCCCGCGTCTGCTCCCTATCCTGAAGCAAATGAATCCACTCCGCACCTTCCAATCCTATCAATTTAATATTTTCTCCCATCTATGCCTAGGTTTTGAAAGCTGGCTCTTTCCTCTAGATTTCCCTGCCTAAACCGCCCTGCCTACTGCTGTACCTGCTCTTCCCAACTCAAAACCGAAATTTGGCGAGGGGTGCAAGTTACGAAGCTCCATCCTCCTGTCGTCTTATCTCTCTCTCTCTCATAGCGAACAATCCGCTTGGTTTCGCGGCGAACTTAGAGTGCTGCATCACGAAATAAGGTACAACCACGGGCTAAGGATTTGGAGGTCGATGAATCGGGGTTCGGTTCCCGGCCGGTTCTGAGGCCTACTCAGCCTGTTATCCAGTGAGTACCGAAAGCGAGCTGACATTTCACCTCCACTAATGCCGACATCAAGAATTCGTTGAGTAATACCTCCACTCCCCCATACATCTTTGTGGAACGTGGCCTAATCAAGTAGAGGGACAGCTTTACATTAACTCGTGTCGCGGAATTGCTTATGTGTGCTCCATTTGTTTTTGATTTTGCATGAATTTGCTTCTGCTTTCTGCGTAGTAGGCCTCAGGCCGGTCTGTACGCTGTTGCGCCATACTGTGGGACTATGGCCGGCTGCCAGCTACAGACGGACGGACATTGGTCAGGTCCGTGTTATCGCATGCTGTCAGCCTCGCGCGTGTCAAACGGTCTCGCGCTTGCGTCTGTATTCACACAAGATAGAGGAGACGTGTGCCAGAAAGTACGTATACGTAGCAGTTCTCTACCAAATGCGGTAGTTGCGTCTGTATGCATACAAGATGGAGGAGACGCGTGCCAGAACGTACGTATACGTAGCAGTTCTCTACCAAACGCGGTAGTTGCGTCTGTATGCACACAAGATGGAGGAGACGCGTGCCAGAACGTACGTATACGTAGCAGTTCTCTACCAAACGCGGTAGTTGCGTCTGTATGCACACAAGATGGAGGAGACGCGTGCCAGAACGTACGTATACGTAGCAGTTCTCTACCAAACGCGGTAGTTGCGTCTGTATGCACACAAGATGGAGGAGACGCGTGCCAGAACGTACGTATACGTAGCAGTTCTCTACCAAACGCGGTAGTTGCGTCTGTATGCACACAAGATGGAGGAGACGCGTGCCAGAACGTACGTATACGTAGCAGTTCTCTACCAAACGCGGTAGTTGCGTCTGTATGCACACAAGATGGAGGAGACGCGTGCCAGAACGTACGTATACGTGGCAGTTCTCTACCAAATGCAGTAGTTGCGTCTGTTTGCCAAGCGCCATGCATCGCAAGCTGGCTCAAGCGTTGCAGCTTCCTGTTTCCTGCTGTCCTCACTCAGTCCCTCGGGGCAGATGCCGTGACGGTGGCTCCGTTCTCACTTCATGACTCATGAGTCATCCCACCATACGATCTGAACTGCTGGGCGTCGTTATAAATCCACGCCTTTTAAACCTCGGCAGTAGTGGAGGTGAATGGACAGCTTCACGCTCCAGCCACTTTATTAAGAAGGCTGGGTGGGCCCCAGAGTCGGTCTGGACGCTGTGGAAAAGATCAAGTTTCTTGCCTTTACCCGGAATCGAACCCTGATTCCACTGTTTTCAAGCCTATAAGCCATGTCGGTCTACTGACTAGGGTATCCCACGATATCCACTAACCCTTTAAAGCACAGTGGTAACTATATGTACCACCTGGTTCAACATTAAAAAGGAACTCCTCACTTTTCCCTACACAGCGTATTTACATATGTGTTTAATATTATTCTTACAATAAGCGCCGGTTATTTCCCTAAAAAGCTTTCCCTGGCTGGCGTTGTTGTGGAGACGGAGTGTTCTCTCTGTGGTAGGAACTGATTCTATAAATGAGCTTGAACTCCACTGACAATCTTCCTGAGT